CATACATACATACATACATACATACATACATACATACATACATACATACACATTGAGCAGCGCAACAAATCATACTACAGTTACTACACCAACAACCGCCTGTACAAAAGTCTACGTAACCAGGTCATCAGGGAAATCAAGTCTGCCAAGAAGATTTATTATCCCAGGAAAGTGCACGGCCTCGAGGAAGTCGGCATCGGTTAGTGGTGCTCCAAGGTAAAAGATCTCTGTGGTCTCAACCGTCAGTCTCCCACACTTCCTTTCATCTCACATTTCCCTAGTGAGGAGGCAGGTGAGATAATTAATAACCATTTTGCTACCATATGTCATACCTTACCCAGTCTTGACCTCACTCTCCTCCCAGCTTACTTACCTTCCCCCTCCCCCCCCTCCCAGTGTCCAACCAGAGGAAATCGCCAACAAACTCCTGAAATTTAAATCCAAACGCTCCACGACCCCAATTGACCTCCCAATCAAAATATACAAGGTGTTTGCAGTCGAACTTGCCACCCCCCTCTGTTCTATTATTAATGCATCCCTCAGACAAAGCAAATGCCCTAATGAATGGAAAACCGCATTTGTCACCCCCATCCCCAAGGTCACCACCCCACAGTCCCCAAACGACCTCAGGCCAGTTGCCATTACCCCCATACCCAGTCTACTTTGTGAGGACTTTGTTTTTGAGTGGGCATTTGCCAGTATCTATGAGTCAATTGATTCACAGCAATTTGGCAATATGAGGACCTCCTCTACATCACACTGCTTGGTGAGCTTTCTGGATTTTCTGCACAAAAACTTGCAGAAACGTAAGACATCACTGGCCGTTGCCCTTGTGGACTTCAGGAAGGCCTTTGACCTTGTTGATCACTGTACTGTTATCAACAAGGCTATTGCACTAGGGCTGCCCACCAACCTGTCTCACGGCTCACTGATTTCTTGAGTGGACGTCGCCAAGCAGTGAGGTATCAGGGCTTGGTCTCTACATTCCAACACCTCACCTGCGGTGTTCCCCAGGGGACCAAGATGGGACCACTGTGCTTCCTCATCCTGATCAACGACGCTCTATCGGACACTCCTCACAGGTGGAAGTACGTGGAAGACTGCACTGTGGGGGTTTCAGTGGACAACACCGCACCAGACTACTCATCGCTACAAGGCACCCCGGACAGGCTACAGGCATGGACTACGGAGAACAAGGTCACCATCAACCACACCAAAACCGTAGTCATGCACATCAATACCGCCACCACTCCAGTGCAAGCCCCAGCAGTCACAGTGGGTGCCCATCCTTTCCAGCTGGTGCAGTCTGCCAAACTCCTGGGTGTAACTATAGACAACAAACTTGACTGGAAGGCCCATGTAAATAACACAGTCAAGGCAGCCTCGTACCGTCTCTACATGCTACGAAGACTTAAGTCACTTGGGACACCCACGCCAGAGCTGAGGACCATCTACAACGCCTTTATTCTCCCCAAACTAACGTATGCGTCACCAGCCTGGTCGTCTTCTCTCAACTCCACCCAACAACGTCAGCTAGAGAAGGTGCAGAAAAGGGCCTGCAGAATCATGCTCGGCGCAGAATACTCCGGCTACACCAACGCTCTCTCCACCCTGGAAATGCCATCCACCCTGGAAATGCCATCCCTAAGTGACCTCCACCACCAAGCACTGGAAAGGTTTGGCCGTGGACTACTGCACCACCTCGCCATCGCCACCCCCTGCCACCGGCAGTCCCCTCGCTCAGTCCGCCACTAAACAAAATTCAGCCCCAAAGGCCACCGATAGATATAAGAACAGCACCATCCCATCTATTGTTAAAATAATAAACAACTCCTGATTTATGTACTGTACAGCCCTGTAAATGTATTCAATCAATATTATATCATTATGTCTAAATTAAATGTAAGTGTATATTTTCAGCCACCGGCTGCTCTATTAATAAACCATTTATTATTATTATTATTATTATTATTATTATTATTATTATTACATACTGTACATACATACATACATACATACATACATACATACTGTACATACATACATACATACATACATACATACATACATACTGTACATACATACATACATACATACATACATACATACATACATACACATACATACATACTGTACATACATACACACTGTACATACATACATATATACATACATACATACTGTACATACTGTACATACATACATACATACTGTACATACATACATACATACATACTGTACATACATACATACATACATACATACATACATACATACATACATACATACATACTACATACTGTACATACATACACTGTACATACATACATACATACATACATGCATACATACATACATACTGTACAAACATACATACATACATACATACATACATGCATACTGTACATACATACATACATACATACATACTGTACATACATACTGTACATACATACTGTACATACATACATACATACATACATACATACATACATACATACATACATACAGACAGACAGACAGAGACAGACAGACGAATAGGCAGACCAGACAGAAAATGAAATACAGACAGACACAGACAGAAAGATGAGAGACAGACAGACAGACAGACAGATACAGACAGACACAGAAAGATAGACACAGACAGGCAGACAGACAGACAGACAGACAGACAGACAGACAGACAGACAGACGGATACGGACAGACACAGAGAAAAGATGAGCACAGACAGGCAGACAGACAGACAGACAGATACCATGACAGACAGACAGACAGATACCATGACAGACAGACAGACAGACAGACAGACAGACAGATACTACACCACGTGAGGCCCCTCGTAACACCATCTATGGGGAACTACTACGTGAGGCCCCTCATAACACCATCTAGGAACTACTACACCACGTGATGCCCTCATAACACCATCTGTGGGGAATTACTACACCACGTGAGGCCTCATAACACCATCTGAGGAACACACACCGTGAGGCCCCTCATAACACCATCTATGGGAACTACTACACCACGTGAGGCCCCTCATAACACCATCTATGGGGAACTACTACACCACGTGATGCCTCATAACACCATCTGTGAGGAACTACTACACCACGTGAGGCCCTCATAACACCATCTATGGGGAACTACTACACCACGTGAGGCCCCTCATAACACCATCTGTGAGAACTACTACACCACGTGAGGCCCTCATAACACCATCTGTGAGGAACTACTACACCACGTGGGGCCCCTCATAACACCATCTATGGGGAACTACTACCACGTGAGGCCCTCATAACACCATCTGTGAGTTACACACGTGTCACACCATCTGTGGGGAACTACTACACGTGAGGCCCTCATAACACCATCTATGAGGGAACTACTACCGTGAGGCCCCTCATAACACCATCTATAGGGAACTACTACACCACGTGATGCCCCTCATAACACCATCTGTGAAATTACTACACCACGTGATGCCCCTCATAACACCATCTATGAGGAACTACTACACCTGAGGCCCCATAACACTCTGTGGGGAACTACTACACCACGTGATGCCCTCATAACACCATCTGTGAGGAGTACTACACCACGTGATGCCTCATAACACCATCTATGAGGAACTACTACACCACATGAGGCCCCTCATAACACCATCTATGAGGGGTACTACACGTGAGGCCCCTCATAACACCATCTATGGGGAGATTCGTGAGGCCCTCATAACACCATCTGTGAGGTACTACACCATGAGGCCCCTCATAACACCATCTATGAGGAGTTACTACGTGAGGCCCCTCATAACACCATCTATGAGGGAGTTACACACGTAGGGCCCTCATAACACCATCTGTGAGGAATTACTACCACGTGAGGCCCCTCATAACACCATCTATGGGGAGTTACTACGTGAGGCCTCATAACACCATCTGTGAGGAACTACTACACCACATCAGGTTCCTCTAACACCATCTGGGAGGGAGTTGCTACACTACGTGTTTGCTGTTCAACACCTACATTAATCTGTATGTTCACTGTATGTTCCTTTCTCTAATGAAGGCTTTTGTTAAACCACCAATGTATGTAATAAGTCATTTATGTCCAATGTAATTTTCAGCCTTCGGGCTGCAGAACTTTTTCAATAAACCGTTAATTATTATTATTATTATTATTATTATTATTATACAGACAGACACAGAGAGAAAGATAGACACAGACAGGCAGACAGACAGAAACCATGACAGACAGACAGACAGACAGATACCATGACAGACAGACAGACAAGACGAATACCATGCCAGACAGACAGACAGACAGATACCGCGACAGACAGACAGACAGACAGATACCATGACGAACAGACAGACAGAAGACAGATACCATGCCAGACAGACAGACAGACGAATACCATGGACAGACAGACGAACGGAGACAGATACCATGACAGACGGACAGACAGATACCATGCCAAGAGACAGACAAACAGACGAACAGACAGACAGATACCGCGACGGACAGACAGACAGACGAACGAATACCGCGACAGACAGACAGACAGACAGACAGATACCGCGACGGACAGACAGACCGAACAGACAAACAGACAGATACCGCGACGACAGACAGACAGACAGACAGACGAATACCGCGACAGACAGACAGACGAACAGACAGACAGACAGATACCGCGACAGACAGACAGACAGACAGACAGACAGATACCGTGACAGACAGACAGACAGACAGACGGACAGATACCGTGACAGACGACAGACAGACAGACAGACAGATACCGCGACAGACAGACAGACAGGGCAGGCAGATACCATGACAGACAGACAGACAGACAGACAGACAGACAGACATCATGAACTTAAAATACAAACTCAAACAATGAATACAGTAAAACACACACACTTGGAAATAAGGGGAATATATGGGACGGGAAACACTGAGAGCAATTAAATGTTGTTCAGCTAAACCCACGCGTATGGGGCGCATGAATGAAATGCCTTACGCTGATTGGTTCATCAGTACCGTGACGTCACCACCAGCCCCCTCCCCCTCTCCTCCCCCTCCCCCATATCAAGTGACACACAGGTCCGCTTCAGGTGACGTAAGGAGAGAGAGAGAGAGAGAGAGAACAGGATTCACTTTTACAAATAATATAAAACATCACAAAAAATCGTCCTTTAAGGCTCGCTACAGTAAACCACACTAAACCGGCACTAAACTCAGAGTAAGCCCCCAGTAAACCACACCTAAACCCAGGCACTAAACTCAGAGTAAACCAGAAGTAAACCCCCAGTAAACCACACTAAACCCAGGCACTAAACTCAGAGTAAACCAAGACGTAAACCCCCCAGTAAACCACACTCATCCACACATTAAACCGACAATAAACCAGGAAGAAACCCACAGTAAACCCAGACACTAAACCCACAGCAAACCAGGAAGTAAACCCAACCAATAAACCCGGTCATAAACTCCAGCTAATAAAACCCAACCAATAAAACCTAACCAATAAACCCAGGTAATAAAACTCCACCAATAAAACCCAACCAATAAATCCAGTAACATAAACCCAGGTGACATAAATCCAGTAACATAAACCCAGGTGACATAAACCCAGGTGACATAAACCCAAGTAACATAAACCCAGGTGACAAACACGGGTAACATAAACCAAGGTTACATAAACCCAGGTAACATAAACCCAGGTTACATAAACCCGGGTAACATAAACCGAATAACATAAACCCAGGTAACATAAACCCAGGTAACATAAACCCAGGTAACATAAACCCAGGTGACATAAACCAGGTGACATAAACCCAGGTAACATAAACCCAGGTGACATAAACCCAGGTGACATAAACCCAGGTGATTCAATAGCTTACGGGCAGGAGGAGGAGGTGGGTTAAACGACATAGACAAGAGCGATCGAACACTCTGTAACCTGGCAACAAATTAGGTGTGGGTGTAAAGCAAGTGTACGTGTTCTTGGTAGTGTATGTATGTATGTATGTATGTATGTATGTGTGTGGGGGAGGGATGGAGGATGAGGGAGGTCCGTCACGTCACACTGAGAGTAACCAATCAGGGTCGATACGTCACACTGAGAATGACCAATTAGGGTGCAATACGTCACACTCTGGATATGACCAATAAAGAGCAGACGATATGTCACACTGGCCGTCGGGTAGTCCATCAAAACACCATGTCATGCTGGCAATGACCAATCAGAGTGGCAATACAGTAACGACCAATTAGAATAAGATACGCCACACTGGTAAAGACTATTTAGGGTCGTCGGGAGAGAAAAACGTGCGTGACTTGTGATTTCATGATGATGAGAGAGAGAGAGAGAGGAGCAGGGTTACTCTCTCTCTCTCTCTCGACGGGGATGAGGGGGGTAGACAGGTGAAATATACTCAAGCAAAGCAAAAGGTCAAGTGAACAAGACTCAACAGCGAACAGTGGAGCCAGAAGATAGACCTGATGAAAGTATTATACCAGGGGTTCTCAACCAGGGGGGGAATTACCTCCAGGGGGGGAATTCAGGTTTTCAGGGGGGGGAAAACTGATTCGGGAGCAAGAGATATGTTCGATGAGAAATCAATCACAGAATTTTGGCCCTTGATGTGCGATTCCTACCCAAAAGTGGCAGAAAGAGCTATCCGTGCATTGCTTCCGTTTGTGTCGACATCTTTGGTGAGTCAGGCTTTTAAACTCTGTTGCAAATTAAAACGAAGCAACGTAGTAGATTAGAGGTGAAAATGACCTGCGTTGTGCCCTTTCAAGCACTCCTCCGCGTATCCCAGAATTGGCGAAAAAACAATCACAGGTTTCTCATTGACTGTAATCTTCATCTGAATAAAATTAATTACAAATTTACAATATCCTGGTATTCTATTGAACTTTTTGTTTATTGCATTATGCTTCAGTTTGGTCTGTTAAGTAATTCATTATAAATATAAAAACTATTTTACTTTTATTCAAGTTTTATAAATCCATCAACATTTTCAATTGGCATTTAATTTGTAAAACTCACTATAAAATAATCCATGTAAAATTGTAAATGTATGTACTAATATGGAAAAAATAAAGGATTTTCAGTATTATATGCATATTATTTGGAATGCACTTTTTGAGGCAGACAATCTTGGAGAGGAGGGGGGAATGACATTCTGACATATGGTGAAAGGGGTGCATGGGGCAAACAAGGTTGAGAACCACTGTATTATACAAACATGTAAGAACACAAACACAGGTGAAATAGGGGAAGGATATCACAGGTAATACTTAAAAGACGAAAACAATAATAAGAAACAGACATAAACAAGAATAATAAAACATAACATAATAAAAATAAATCACAAAACACAAAGAGAATAAGAAATATAGACGAGGTGAAAGTTAGAGGCAGTGCGGATACAGTACACTGCCAACTAAAACATTCGGTAAAGGATGCGTCTGGCAGTAAACCCGACCTAACCTAACCTAAACACAACAACTTTCATTGGCCCCGGACTGTAAACTTAGTTATCCATTTAACATTTAGGTGGACCAGGATCGAACCAGCGACCATTAGCACAGAAGGTGAGCGCAATATCCACTCGCCCACCGCACACTTTCATGGTAAAGAAAAATATAAACTATAGTGTGGTATTAAAACGAACGACTGGTTATTTTACTGGGAAATTTGTACACACGAGATTTACTTAATCACTAATTCTGGAGAGAGAGAGTCGATTTTAGAATTTTTATTTTCCTATTCAGTGAAGCAAGATTAGCAGTGAGTTTCTGGAAGTGACTCTCTCTCTCTCTCTCTCTCTCTCTCTCTCCCACCCACACATCTCTCTGGTAACTCAACACGGGTTCACCTGAGCATTAGCCTCCCCCCCCCACCACGTTATTTTACCTGTTAATTAAACCCCTTACCGCTACCTGGGGTTAGGTTAGGTTAGATTTTGGTTTGGTTTTGGTTAGGTTAGGTTAGGTTAGGTTAAGTTAGGTTTGGTTAGGTTAGGTCATGATTACTTTGAACCATTAAACGTTACTCAGAAATTATAATTGTAATTGATAAACGTTTTGCATCTAATTAAAATAATTACTTTATGACTTCAAGAAAAAAATAATATATATACACCTTAATATAGAGAAAATAAATATTGTATCCTTCACTAAACATCTAAGTATTTCACCTCCAACAAGAAATAATTTAAAGTTTTTTTGTTTTTTTTTGTATTTCTAAGACATTATTCTCATGTGTGACGTCATTAAAGGACTAATTAAAATTTTCCCTTTCACTCAAAATAATTTCTGACATTATCTTCACTTTATTTACCGAGTCATTTGTGTTGTGTTCTCTCTCTCTCTCTTTTTTCTCTCTCTCCTTCATTCATAAGTTCTCTTTATTATCCGTATGTGTGTCTTTCTCTCTTTCTTATTCTATTCTCTGTCCTGAGTGTTTGTCATCTTCTTTGTTCCTTTGTTCTATCTCCCCCTTCTTATCCCTCCTTCATCCTCAAGTTCTCCTTTATCTCTCTCCCTCTCTCTCATTTACTTTCTTTTCATGTCCCTCTTCCTAAGTTATTGTCTCTCCTCTTAACCCCTTTCCTCTTTCGTTTCAGTCTCCTTCCCTCCTTTACTCCTTCCTGCCTCTCTCCCTATTTGCTACCTCCCCCTCCGTCCCTCCCTCCCTCTCTCCTTCCCCTCCTCTCTCCCTCTCTCCTCCTCTCCCTCCCTCCCTCTCCCCTCCTTCTCCCCTCCTCCCTGCCCCCCTCTCTCCCTCTCTCTCTCCCTCCCTCCCTCCTCCCTCTCTCTCTCCCTCCCTCTCTCTCTCTCTCCCTCTCTCCCTCTCTCTCTCCCTCCCTCCCTCTCTCCCTCCTTCTCCCCCTCCCTCCCTGCTTCTTCCTCCCCTCACCTTCGTTTTAATCCCCTCTTCCCTGTCCTTCCCTCCCTAAGCCCTTATTTCCTCCTATTCTCTCCCTTCTTCCCTCTCCCCTCCTTTCCTTTCCTCTTCCTTCACCTCTTCCTTTTCCTACCATCCTTCTTCCCCCTATTTCATCCTTGTTTTGTTATACCCCCTTACTTCCTCCTCCTTTCTTCGTCTCTCTGTCCCTCCCTTTCTCTTCCTTACCTCCCTTCTCTTCGTCTCTCTGTCCCTCCCTTTTCTCTTCCTTATCTCTCTTCTCTTCGTCTCTCTGTCCCTCCCTTTTCTCTTCCTTACCTCCCCTTCTCTTTCGTCTCTCTGTCCCTCCCTTTCTCTTCCTTACCTCCCTTCTTCCGTCTCTCTGTCTCCTTTCTCTTCCTTATCTCTCCTTTCTCTTCGTCTCTCTGTCCCTCCCTTTCTCTTCTCACCTCCCTTCATCCGTTCTCCTTTCATCCTCTTCCTTACTCCCATATCCTCTGACATTCCTCTTTTTTTCCCATTATTCGTCCTCACAACCTTCAATCTTTACATACATACATACATACATACATACATACATACATACATACATACATACATACATACATACATACATACATACACACACACACTCATTTAACAGCAGGCGACACGTTGGTGTTTCCTGTACCGCCCACGCAGGTGTGCCTCTACCATGCACTTTCTCTCTTCCTGACACTTATTGCTTCACACCTGCGAGGAATGTATTTGGTGTTTAAACGGGACAATGATATGGCAGGTCGTTGGTGTGACATATAATAATAACAATAACAGACAGACAGACAGACAGACAGACAGACAGACAGACAGACAGACAGACAGACAGATAGACAGACATATGGCGTATCAATTTCTTCACCCCAAAATCTCCTTAACCTTGACCCCACAAGATACATAACAAGTTCCTCCTCCTGTCTCTTCCACTGTATATCCTGAGGGAGAGTTGACCGAGTCTGAGGCGAGTAGCGAGTTCACCTTATTGGTTACAGAGGTTAAGACTTGTTGAAGAGAGAGAGAGAGAAGAGAGCAAACAGAACAATGGCGACAAGATATAAAAATCAATAATATCTTCTCCTCTATCCTCCACCACTCCCTCTCCTCCAACACTCCTCTATCCTCCACCACTCCCTCTATCCTCCACCACTCCCTCTATCCTCCACCCTCCCTCTATCCTCCAACACTCCCTCTATCCTCCAACACTCCCTCTATCCTCCAACACTCCCTCTCCCTCTCTTCCACACCTAGTTAACACCCTTCACCAATAAGCCTCTTTCATCTTTTCCCCTTTTCTCCCCTTCCTTTCATCCCTTCCTTCTCTTCCTCTTACTCGTCTTCTCATCTCTCTCTTTATTCTTCCTTTCCTCCTCCTCCTTCCTCATGTACTCCGACCATTTACCAATTCAATATATTCGGTGCTGACAGCCAAAAGCACTTCACCTCTTGCAGTATATATTTCTGAAGGTAATTTATATCAATATCCTACGCCCTAAAGTGACACTAAGATA